TAAGGCGGACATGATACGCTGTAAACTTTGCACACCCCTTCCTGGTGGGCATGTAGAGGAGGGACTTTTGCGTTCGGGAAAAGGATATAACCATAGCTGTCAACTTACAGATTTGAAAATAAGGGACCAGCAGCCTCGAAAATAAGGGATCAGCAGCCAAAATAAGGGATTTTCCAAGCACAGGTATGTTCAACTTCTGAGCCCCTCCGAGCCAAAGGCAGAAAGCCCAGCCAGCAGCCAAACGAAGCCTCAAGCGGTGGTTCCCACAGCGCAGCAACCCGGCAAAGGGGATGCAGCAAGGAAAACCACCATCACCTCTCCGCTGGGAAGCGCTGAGCAAAGGCTGAGTCCCCAGGCAACGTGGCCGATTTGATTGGCACAAGGCATGCAAGCTCCACCCCCCAGTCGTTCTCAGACTCCTTATTGGGTGAGCAACGCAGCCAAGCAACACAGTTGGAGCCTCCCTCCTCCCTGGCCGGCAGGGAGGGAGGGAGAGGAGCTGCTTCCTTTGAAACCCGGGAAATTTAAGGGACATCATCAATAAGGGACAGCAGCGGGACACGGCGCTGGGATAAGGGGCTTTCCCGCCAAATAAGGGACGGTTGACAGCTATGGATATAACGCTGTATTGGTCACCCATTTTGCAATGATGTTTTCCCTTCAATAAACTTTTGCTACTTCGCCAATTTTGCCCAGAACTTATTTAAAGGATTCTGGGACTTTTAAGTCTTAGGAACCAGTGGTTTTTTTTGTCTTTTGTTATCTCTTACAACAACCCAGCAGGGATCATTTCTGTCCAGACAGAAAAGGCACCAGAGACGGAGAGTTTCATGTGCAAAAAAAATGAATCATATTTATTTATAAATGTACAGGCTGATTCGAAATCGTTGAGCACCAAGCGTAGGCAGAAGGGATCTCCAGGCAGGGTTCAGATCCCAAGGAGAACATTATTATTATTACGCCTCTTCTTCCTCTGCAACTGTCACTGCAGGGAGCTCAGCCGTCAGAATTCGAACCCAGCACTGCTGAGATCTTTGCTGCTGACATTCATCTGCGAGAAGCGCCCTAAGAAACTTGATTATGGAATTGAAGGCAACTCCATTGCCGTGTACTGTACTGAAGTCATTTTCCTTGTGGACCCTGTTCTTCGGCACAGCTCCCAAATCTGACGTCGTCCCCTGGAGTGAATTTATGGCATCCCGTCTCACTTACAGGGAGCAGAAGGGGCTGTGTGTGGCAAAGATGATCCATCAACAAGAAACCCACAAACAAGACCTTGAGAGCAACAGCAACTGGAATTCAAAGACATCTCGCCTCCGGCTTCTGATAAACCTATCCCTTGTGGCTAGAAGCCATTGATGGTCGCAAGAAGAATTACCGCTGAAAGAAGAATGGAGGATGAAGTTGATGGACTATGCAGAATTAGGTAAAGTAACAGGAAGGATTCGAAACCTGTGGGATTTTTAGAGGACTGGAGTAAATATATGAACTATTTGAAAAGTAATTGTGATGAACAGATGGACATTCACCGAAGCGAAGATCCAGCACAGTCCTTCATAGCTGGACAATGGAACTCCTTGTCACATGAGGCAGTGATGGCTTTAAAAGAGGATTCTTGGTGGCATTGTAGGAGACGATATTAACAGACAGGATTGTAAGCTGTTTTTATATGCAGTGACAGCAGCAAGAATATTATTGGCACAAAAATGGAAGCAAGAAGAACTACCGACGAAAGAAGAATGGAGGATGAAGTTGATGGACTATCCAGAATTGGATAAATTAACAGGAAGGATTCGAACCCCGCAGGACCAGAGATTCTTAGAGGACTGGAGTAAATATATGAACTATTTGAAAAGTAATTGGGATGAACAGATTATGCTGGTAGGACTGCAAGAAGTTCTGTAAGGTGGGTTATCTTGAAATGTTACAAGAAAGACTATGAAAATAATTATTAGTTAAGGACAATTAAATGCAATATAGAAATCAAGAAATGCAGAATAAGTGATAAAGAATGGGAAATCATCAGAGGTGTTGACGGAAGTCTAAAACATTGTATAAGATGAGAAGATATGTTGTATGACTGTTGGAACTGATAGGTTAAAAAATCAATAAAAATGTGTGTATATATATATATATATATATAAAAGAAGCCATTGATGGTCTTCTCATCTGCGAATTTGTCCAGTCCACTTTTCAGGCCACCCAGGTTGGTGGCAGTCTCCTGTGGCAGGGAGTTCCCCAGTTTAACACTTCACTCTGGGAAGAAATCCTTCCTTTTCTCCGTCTCAAATCTTCCAATGTTCAGATTCCAGTATTACGAGAGAGGAACAGAAAGCTGTCTCTGGTCGCCTCCGGACAACTCTTTTACAGAGCAATCGCCCAGATTTGTTTGCGGTGAGGTCAGATGCTGCTATCGAGCACTTATTCTGAATTTTAGGGTGCCATTCTGTCAAGCAAGTATCACCTCAGGGCATTTCACTGTCACTTTCCTTAAAGCAAAAAAATGGCGATGTTTGCGGTGAAACCAGCATTCAGCGCGCAACCCTGAATTTGCTGGCATGGAATCGAATTCACCAGAAAACAGCCTCTTCCACAAAGGTTGCCATAAGTCCACAATTTCCCAGACGTACCCGGAATACTGTGGTCAAAAGCAGTGTCCGGGCGGAAATAGGCAAGATGTCCATATTTTCACTTTTGCAAAATATGGCAACCCTCCATCCGCTTTGCCCACAGTCGTTGGGGCCCTGATCCATTGGCCCCTAATAGGCCGGCTTCCAATGGATGTGACTAAAGAGTCCATGTAGTCCGCCATTTTGCTTCTCTCAGCGGCCAACCAGATGCTTGCGAGGCGGGGGGTGAAGGCGGCGGTCCTTCAGCCGCTGGCGTTCACCTCTGAAACAGCCCCATGGCACACGGCGGGGCTTACTCCCAGGGAAACATGCATAGTAGTGCAGAATTTCATCCCACCCAGGCGCCCAGGTCCTGGAAGCGACAGAGGAGGAGCCCTTTTTTGTTGTTGTCCATTTGCAACCTAGTATAACTCTTACAGGACACGGGTGGCGATGTGGGTTAAACCACAGAGCCTAGGGCTTGCCGATCAGAAGGTCAGTGGTTCGAATCCCCGCGACGGGGTGAGCTCCCGTTGCTCGGTCCCTGCTCCTGCCAACCTAGCAGTTCGAAAGCACGTCAAAAGTGCAAGTAGATAAACAGGTACCGCTCTAGAGGGGAAGGTAAACGGCGTTTCCGTGCGCTGCTCTGCTTCGCCAGAAGTGGCTTAGTCATGCTGGCCGCAAGACCCGGAAGCTGTACGCTGGCTCCCTCGGCCAGTAAAGCGAGATGAGCGCCACAACCCCAGAGTCGGCCACGACTGGACCTAATGGTCAGGCGTCCCTTTACCTTTACCTATAACTCTTACATCCCTGGGGAGTCACCTGAGCCTGGAGAAAACATGGCCTTTTTCGGGGTGGCTCCATTTCACTTCGAAAAATGAAAGGCACTTGGCCACCTCGTTTGGCGTAAGAAGTGAGCGGTGGCTGATTCAGGTACGAGAGAAGAAGGAGAGTGGATTTGATTTTGTGGAACCCGTTGCAGCGTTGATCGGGGCCTTGGCAATGCCCTCTGAGGGACCCCCCCTCTAACACCATCAGCCCAACTTTGACGGGAGATAGCAGCAGATAAAAAGCCCCAGGACACCCCCCTCCCAGGAGAGACCTTATGCATGCAAAGCAAATGCTCAACCACTGAGCTATCAGGTGTGGTGACAGATATAGTCTCTGTTTACTTTTTATTGGACTATGCAACGTACGGGGAATGGGACCATTTTGGGCCAGAGGCTTGGGTCAAAAAGGAAGCAAGCCCTCTGCAACTGGGGCCACTTTTGATAGGTGAATGCCCATCTCTCAATCACTGGGCACCCTGTGACGTCAGGCACATCACACAACCTCAGGTGTTTCCTCTCAGGTGAGGGAAAGTTCAAGGCGCAGGAGCTAGGGGAGAACCGGAAGCCCGCTCTGAGCCTGAGGGGGGGCTCCTTCATTTCCATCTGCTGCTTAAACTTCCCACTTTGAGGTGTCGTATTCTCATTACTCAGGCCTAATTCACGACCCTTTAGTGTTTAAAGAGCTCTACCTCTCTTTCAAATCAGAACCAGTGAAGGCGGTGAAAGTCCTGTGTGAGTGTCTGGAGGTGGTTGGAGGATGGAGGGCGGCTAACGGATTGAGGTTGAATCCTGACAAGACAGAAGTACTGTTTTTGGGGGACAGGAGGCAGGCAGGTGTGGAGGACTCCCTGGTCCTGAATGGGGTAACTGTGTCCCTGAATGACCAGGTGTGCAGCCTGGGAGTCATTCTGGACTCACAGCTGTCCATGGAGGCGCAGGTCAATTCTGTGTCCAGGGTAGCTCCATCTGGTACGCAGGATGAGACCCTCCCTGCCCGCGGACTGTCTCACCAGAGTAGTGCATGCTCTGGTTATCTCCCGCTTGGACTACTGCAATGCGCTCTACGTGGGGCTACCTTTGAAGGTGACCCGGAAACTACAACTAATCCAGAATGTGGCAGCTAGACTGGTGACTGGGAGCGGCCACCAAGACCACATAACACCGGTTCTGAGAGATCTGCATTGGCTCCCAGTATGTTTCTGAGCACAATTCAAAGTGTTGGTGCTGACCTTGAAAGCCCTAAACGGCCTCGGTCCAGTGTACCTGAAGGAGCGTCTCCACCCCCATTGTTCTGCCTGGACACTGAGGTCCAGCACTGAGGGCCTTCTGGCGGTTCCCTCACTGTGTGAAGCCAAGTTACAGGGAACCAGGCAGAGGGCCTTCTTGGTAGTGGCACCTACCCTGAGGAACGCCCTCCCACCAGATGTCAAAGAGAAGAACAACTACTAGACTTCTAGAAGACATCTGAAGGCAGCCCTGTTTAGGGAAGCTTTTAATGTTTGATGCATTACTGTATTTTAATATTGTGTTGGAAGGCACCTAGAGTGGCTGGGGAAGCCCAGCCAGGTGGGCGGGGTATAAGTAATAAATTATTATTATTAAAGCCCTAAATGACTTCGGCCCCAAATACCTGAAAGACCACTGCCTTCCCCACTAAGCCTCTTAGATGCCAGCTTGCCAGAGGAGTCCCCCTTCATTCTTACTCCCCCCTCAGAGGTTCGGGGGTGGCAGCCTGGGAGAGGGTCTTCTCTGTGGTGGCCCCTCAGCTATGAAACTCCGTCCCCACAGAGGTGCTCCTGGCACCTTCACTAGACAGTTTTCGTCATACGCGGAAGGCGCACCCTCCTTACCTTTGACACCTGATACACCTGTAGATAATATTATGACTCACGCTAGCCTTGCGATTGTAATTTGTTGTAATTTGCTTCTGATATTGTAGTTCAAATTGTGGTGACCCGCCCTGGGTTCTTATGGTCATAGGCGGTTAAGAAAAGTAATAATAATTCTCATATGATAATAAGAGCCTCCTGGATCAGACCATTGGCCCATCTAGTCCAGTATCCTATTCTCTCAGGGGCCAACCGGATACCCAGATTCAAACACAAGACCAATTCTCCGTTTCTGTGGTTTCCAGCAAATGGGATTCAGAATTATCACTGCCTCTGACTAAAAAGCATCCATCTTGGTTCTAAAATTATCTGGGAGCAGGGAATCTACACTTTTCTTTGGCAAACTTTACACTGCAGGAGAACTTCGGTGTAAACTATGAAAATCAAAATGGCTTCCTTCGGTTCGTAAAGCACTGGCATTCCAAGAGAAGCAACATGGCGGCCTTCAGACGTTGAGCTGGTACCTCATCTGGGTTTATTGGCCACCCTTTTGTGCCTGTTCGTTACGGCCTTGTAGCCCCGGGAATATCGGGGTACGGCGTTGATGATGTGGTGCTTGGCGGTCCCCCTGCCCTTGTTCCAGAGGGAGATGAAGACGAAGCAGATGGCCACCGAGCAGAGGAAGGGCACGATCCCAATGGCCAGGATCCCCGCCAAGGTGCCGACGTCAAGGAGGAACGGGAGGGCAGCGCTCGAGGCGTTGAGGGCGCTGGCGTTGACCCTGACGGAGAAGTTGCTGAAGACGCGGAGGTGGGCCCACATGGTGTCGTTCCCGGCGGCGTTGCGGGCCACGCAGAGGTAGGCCCCGCCATCTTGAGGGAAGGCGTGGTGGATCCTCAACGTGCCGTTGGGAAGGACCGCGAGCCGGCCCTTGCGGCTGGCGTCCAGGGAGACGTTGTGAGGAGACACCCAGGAGATGGTGGGGGGCGGGTCGCCGTCGCCTTTGCAGGTCAGCATCGCCCGGCCGCCCTCTTCCACGCTCAGTCTCTGAGGAGGGGTCTCCTTCTCGATGGTGGGCTTCCTGCAGGTGATGTGCCCAGGAAGGATGTCGGAGAATTTGCGGAAGACCTTCCCCTCGCCCGTCGAGTTGGTGGCGCAGACGGGTTGCCGGGCCTCGAAGTTCAGCCTCCGCTGCCTGCGAATGATCCAGAGGAGGCGGCAGTCGCAAGCCAGGGGGTTCCCGTCCAGCCGTAGGACCTCTAGGTTCCCCACCGAGTGGAAGGCGCCCTCCTCAAGCGTCCGCAAGCCATTGCCCGAGAGGTTGAGGACGCGGAAGTGGACGAGGCCATGGAAGGCGTGGGCCTGGACGGTGGCCAACCGCCCGCCCGTGAGGTGGAACTCCTGAAGGCGGGAGAGTTCAGCCAGCTTCCTCCCACGGAGGACAGAGATCGGGTTGTGCGAGAGGTCAAGGAACCGGAGGTGGACCAAGTGGTGGATGGCTTTGTAAGGCACCTCGCGGAGGCTGCACCTGGTGATGGACAAGGCGGTGAGGTTCAGGCCCGCGAGGCTATGAGGCCTCAGCGCCGTCAGAGAAGGCCACCGGTGGATCTCAAGGACCTTGAGACGATGCAGTTTTTGGAAGGAGTGGTCGGGGACGGAGCCGATGCTCAGGACCTTGAGCCGCAGCTCCACAAGATGGCGGAGATGCGAGAGGGCTTCTGTTGGGACGCCGGTCAAGTTGCACTTCTCTAGAGTGAGTTGCCGCAAGCTCTGGAGGCCGCTGAAGGCCTGGGACGAGACGAAGATCAAGTGGTTGTCTCCGGCCTCCAGCTTCCGTAGGCTGGAGAGGTCCTTGAAGCTGTGGTCTTGGAAGAGGACAATCTCATTCTCGCTGATGTCCAGGACGGCGAGGCTGGGAAGCCCCGTGAAGACGCCAGAGGGGACCATCTTCAGCTTGTTGCCCGTCAGCCGGAGGGTCATCAGCCTCTTCAGGCTGTTGAAAGCGCCCGGCTCGATGTTGGAGAGGGCGTTGTAGCTCAGGTCCAGCTCTTTCAGAGCCTGAAGGCGGGAGAACATGCCTTGTTGAAGGGTGCGGAGGACATTCTGACTCAGGTCCAGGAGCTCAGAATCCGGAGGGATCCGGCCCGGTACCGCCGTCAGGTTGCGGCCGTTGCAGAAGACAACCTTGTCCTGGGACAAGCACCTGCACCGTGAAGGGCAGGTGTGCCTGGATCCCGTCAAGAAGGTGCCTGGGATGACGGCAAGGAGCAGCAGCAGCAGGGGCCGCCATTTTGTCCCGGGGGAAGCCTCCATCTTGCTTGTTTTCCTGAAGATAGTAATGACAGCAAGAGAGCCTTGCGGTTAGAGGGAGAGGGTTGGAAAGAGGGAAAGCACAGCTCCCTGATCGTGTGGAGACATGTCCGCCTTTGAGGGCCTTCTGGCCATTCCCTCACTGCGAGAAGGGAAGTTACAGGAAACCAGGCAGAGGGCCTTCTCGGTGGTGGCGCCCGCCCTGTGGAACACCCTCCCGTCACATGTTAAGGAAATAAAGAACTACACAATTTTTAGAAGACATCTGCAGGCAGCCCTGTATCGGGAAGATTTTTTAAAAAGACATTTAATGTAATATTATGTACTTATATATGTTGGTAGCTGTTGGCAACCCAGCCAGATGGGTGAGGTATAATAAAACAGTGGTACCTCAGGTTAAGTACTTAATTCGTTCCGGAGGTCCGTTCTTAACCTGAAACTGTTCTTAACCTGAAGCACCACTTTAGCTAATGGGGCCTCCTGCTGCCAGAGCACGATTTCTGTTCTCATCCTGAAGCAAAGTTCTTAACCTGAAGCACTATTTCTGGGTTAGCGGAGTCTGTAACCTGAAGCGTATGTAACCCGAGGTACCACTGTAATATAATAATAATAATAATAATAATAATAATAATAATAATAATAATAATAATTTGAGGTGTGTGTGTGAAACAGGGAGAGCATGTGAGGGAGGAGCTCTGTGTTCTGTGTGACACAGAGAGAAAAAAGTGGGAGTGTTTTGTGTGTGTGTGTGTGTGTGAGAGAGGGGGGGGGGCTTTGAAGGGGGCTGGATTAGATGACTAGATCCAAAAACTCCCTCTTGGAGAGCCGGTGGTGGTGCCATGCTTGCAAAGTCAGACTTAAGACTAGGCAGATTTGATTTCAAATCCCCTCTTGGCCTCAAAACTCTCCCTGGGTGACTTTAGTCTCTCAGCCTAACTTTCCTGGGAGGGTTGCTGTGAAAACTAGACCAGGACGGGAGAGAGAAGGAGAGCTGCCTTGCGCCACTCCCAGAGCTTTGAACAAAGAGCAGGATGCAAATGTTAAGTACTTTCAAGTACATCTTGGGTCTCGCGACCGAAGAAAGATATTACATGAACGTAGGAAAATAAAGGAAATGGTTTGGTGCCTGGAGCCCTTGGAGGAAAACAGGGGCAAGGGCCTGTAGCAGGAACCCCCCCACCCCAATCATTCTGCTTGTACAAACTTCACACACACACACACTCACACACTACATACGCCACATTTCTGTTATAAATTCATAGAAAAATCAACCATACATTGGATTTGCACTGTTCCATTTTTATTTTACTCCATATGACAAGAACTAACAAAAGGGGAGGGGGGTTTGACCCTGGTCAGCTAAAATCCCTTCACCGTCTCAGCACATCTGCAGGAGCCCTGCCCAGATGACCCCAGACAGAAGGCAATCAAGACCACAAAGAACTTGCATATGGGAGTGGATTCAGCATGGACTGAAACAAAGGACAATGATCAGATCTTCCCTCAGGGGGCAGGAAACTGCAAACTCCCCTTTGTCTCCTGGAAGTGACTCATGGGGAGGGGGGAAAGGAGGAACCAGCCAGGTGACAGGACACTCAGGTTGCCACCAACTCCTCCCTCAACCTCTCCTTTCTGTAATATATGCATGATGTTTCTGGGGGTGGGCTTGACCTAGAGGAGGGGAATTTCAAAAGTTTTTATAAGACCTTGCACACTATTTTTCTGGGTCTTTCCTCTCACCTGCAAGTGAGGGGAACCCCCTGATGCATCAGTTCAATAAAGGCCAAGCCTACAGGCTGCTGATTTGCTTCAATTTGCTCTGGTTGGTGCTTTATTTTTGTCCAAGGGAGCCCTAAGATTTTTCCAGTAACAGGCCTCCGCCCTCTCTGCTGGCAGAGGGAGGGTTTGCCTTCCCTTCTCCACCACCCTTCAGATCAGGGACGGACTTCTCAATTTCCCCTGTCTTCACCTCCATTCACCACATTTCCATGTCAGTTTGTGTGCTTAAAACGAACAACTTCAAACTTAAACAGTGGCCCATCTAGTCCACCATTCTGTTCTTACAGTGGCCAACTAGGGAAACCCACGAACAGAAGAGCCCACCCATTTGTTGTTGTTGTTTTGTTTGGAAATCTTATTTACAACATAACAAAAACCCCAACCCCCCAATATAGAAATCCACCCTCATTAAACGGGAACACAACATACAATAAGCATAGCATGCAACAATACAAACCAAATAAAAGACTTCCTTTATCCTCTATCTGGCCTCCTTATATACTTCTTATAAGCTATTTCCTTTATGAATAATTATTAAGATTTTTCTAATTATAATTTAAATATCCACAAAGTCTCCTGCAGATATTGTTCTGTGGCAACAGAGCGACTTCTTTGGATATGCGAACTCGTGGCACTTGACTAGCCAGAGAAAGCCACTATGTTGTCAAAGGAACTACTTCGGCTGGCTTCCTTTTACAGATCCTACCTGACGCACATTGGATCACAGGTTTGGAAGGGGAACCAGGGGTTCATCCAAATGGACCCCCAAACGCTTAACTATATACAGTCATACCTCTGGTTGCGTTCGCTTCATGTTGCGGATTTTCAGGTTGCGAGCGCGCTTTGCACATGTACAGTAGTGACGCTCTACTTAGGGACTTTTCAGGGTGTGAACTGTACCCCGAAACGGATCACGTTTGTAAGTAGAGGTACCACTCTGTGTGTGTGTGTGTGTGTGTGTGTGTGTGTGTGTGTGTATATATACACAGTGGTACCTCGGGTTACATACGCTTCAGGTTACAGACTCTGCTAACCCAGAAATAGTACCTCGGGTTAAGAACTTTGCTTCAGGATGAGAACAGAAATCGTGTGGCCCCATTAGCTAAAGTGGTGCTTCAGGTTAAGAACAGTTTCAGGTTAAGAACGGACCTCCGGAACGAATTAAGTACTTAACCCGAGGTACCACTGTGTGTGTATATATGTATATATATATATGCATTTTAATGCACACTAACCCTTAAAATGTGTATTGTTGCACGCCTATTTTCGCTGAAGAACTGCTCTGGTGCGAGTTTCAAAGGATATCGGTTTCTCGGATTATCTCAGGAACGCAGTACGTGGGAAGGTTTGCGTTAAAATGCAAACTGCATAGAATTTCTTTCTCTCCCCTCCCCCCAGCCCTGAACCCTACTCATGCCCACTTTGCAATTTCTTTTTATAATCTATGCAATTTTACTTACGTATAGTTGTGTGAAGAAGAACCGTCCTCGAAAGGCACCCGACTCTTTTCTTAAGTTCCTCCGAACGCACCCGATTTCCGTTTATACGGTTTTTATCTGCGCCCGCCCCTTTCGGAAACATAAAAACACAAACAGAAAAAGTACTGTACTGCAGGCGGAACCTAATTTGAGGTGAATCATCGTTTCATATAGTTAGATCCTCATTAAACGTGGCATTTAGCTCAAAGGACTCGCGTAACCCGTCGAGGCCGAAATTAGCCACGGCCCGCAGTTGCAAATTCCCCTGTGCCTTTCGAAAAAGACAACAAATCTTTGAAGCTGGCGATGAGGAACATGTGCCGCTACAGATGTGGAGAAAATTGATGGGGATAAGATCCTTCCCCCCATTTCTCGCTCTGACACTTGAACTCGCGTACAGCTGCCTCTGGAGACGGTTCAGAAACTTCAGCCAGAGGCACAACAACGAACGAACGTGTTTGCATTACGGGATTTCCTGAAGTAGAGGACCTTATGCATTATATCTTGGGCTGCCCCTTATATAATGAAGCAAGCAAAAGATTTTTAGCACCTAGGTCCCCTGGCCAGAACCCCTATGACATGACTTTATATCTCCTTGCAGACACAGATGAGTATGTGACCTGGCGTGTAGCACTCTTTGCAACTGCCGCTAGGAAAATCAGAGCAAATTATATAGCCAAGGTAGCCACCAACTGTAGAGGAGATGAATTTTTTTGATGCTATCCACATCAAGCTATGTGGGACGCTGTGGGTTAACCCACTGAGCTTAGGGCTTGCCGATCAGAAAGCCGGCGGTTCGAATCCCCGCGACGGGGTGAGCTCCCATTGCTCGGTCCCTGCTCCTGCCAACCTAGCAGTTCGAAAGCACCTCAAAGTGCAAGTAGATAAATAGGTACCGCTCCGGCGGGAAGGTAAACGGCGTTTCTGTGCGCTGCTCTGGTTCGCCAAAAGTGGCTTAGTCATGCTGGTCACATGACCCGGAAGCTGTACACCGGCTCCCTCAGCCAATAAAGCGAGATGAGCGCTGCAACCCCAGAGTCGGCCATGACTGGACCTAATGGTCAGGGGTCCCTTTACCTTTACATCAAGCTATATTCTATCTTTATCACCAAACTCCGAATATAATTGCACGCTGTATTAATTAACATTATTTTTTTAATATATTAGTGGCCATGTAATAATTTTAGCTTATAAACTTTATTTTTTAATGTCTTAATTTGTAATATTAAGGTACTTTTATAGCTCTGTTTAGAGTAGGGAATGTCTTGATAATAGAAATGTTTTACGTTTTTTGGATCAATCCAGTATATTTTCTTTTAATTGTTGAATTATTTTGTGTACATTGCGGCAGCCTTTGGCTATGTGCAATAAAACTGACTGACCAGAAACTTCAGCTGGTGCAGAATTCAATGGCCAGGTTGCTCAGTGGGGCAAGATGGTTTGAGCATATTACACTGATCCTGGTCTGACCGCACCGGCTGCCAATTAGTTTCCGGGCCCAATTGAAAGTGCTGGTTTTGAAGCCTTAAATGGCCCAGAACCACAACACCTCACGGACGGCCTCTCTCCATATGAACCTTACCCGGACCCTGAAATCATTATCTAAGTCCCTTTTTCATGTGCACCCTCCAAGAGAGATTCATAGGGTGGCAACACAAGAACAGGGCCTTTTCTGTGGTGGCTCCCCGTTTGTGCGATTCTCTCCCCAGAGAGACTCACCTAGCACCTTCCTTGCATATCTTCAGGCACCAGGCAAAAACATTCCTCTGTAATAACTATCTGTGGGCTTTTAGACATGGGTGGGATGTTTTTAACACATCCCCCCCTCCCCGGTTTCAATGTATCTATGTGTGTGGGTGTGTATGTGTGTCTTTGTTTGTTGCTTTGGGTTGTCTTGGGAAAGATAAAGCAACTAACAAATTTAATAAATAATAATAATAATAGTAACCACAGCATCTTGGGACCCTAGTGAGCTTCAGGGCTGAGTGAAGATTCGAACTCTGCTCTCCCAGGTTACCTAGCCTGACACACTAATTGCGATGCGCATACTGTTTGTCTCTGCCTGTTGTATTTCAACTGCAATTCATGCCTTTGCCTTGGTGTAGCATGACCTGAAGCAGCTGCAGCAGAGAATCACAAAATCCTTGCTTTTTCTAAGACCCGAAGGCTGGTGACACAGTTTCCTTTGTCCAGACCGCAAGAAAGGGTGAAAGCACTTGTCACGTTCACTCTGTTGAGGAAGCTGGAAGGTGAACACGAGCATCTCAGCAGGGAGGTTATTCCTCTAATAGGGTGCCACCACCAACAAGGCCCTGTCATGGGTAAGTACCAATCTAGTGCCACCAAGCCCTCCCTTGTCATTTGTTTTCATATATATATATAAATTTTTATTAGGTTTTTTTAACGTATCATTTTCAAATAATTAAACATACTTTTACATCTTGTACAATTTTTTTTTTTTTACTTCCATCCATCACATCTGAAAATTTTGGCCAATTTTGGTGTGTAAAAAGTTCTTCTGTGGATAAAACGACCTGGGCCGAGGGGTGGAGAGGAATTATTATTATACGCACTCCTCCCAGAGTCTTGCTGGTCAAGCCTCGTGTGTTTTCTCTTAATCAGAGTCCAATCCTTCCTTGCTTTGGGAACGCTACACTTTTGCCTATCGGATACAGATGCAAAACTTGGGAATCTGAAGCGGGGAGTGTGGTTGCTGCACTCGGGTCCTGCGTTCGAGCTTCCCCATTGACCACAGAGGATGAGCCCGTGGCCTGATTCAGCAAGGTCACCTTATGTCCTTAGGACAGGGCCGCCGCTCCCAGAATGCCCTGGGGCATGGGCAAATCCGAGCCACCGCATTTTTCGCTCTATAGGACGCACCCGACCATAGGACGCACCTTGTTTTAGAGGAGGAGAACAAGAAAAAAAAATCTCCCCCTCTCTGCTCAGCACCCCTTCAGCGAAGCGGCAGGAGAAACGGAGCCCCTTCCATTTCTCTTCCCGCTTCGCTGAAGGGGCGCTGCGCAGAGAGGGGGAGAATTCCCCCCCTTGTTCTCCCCCTCTAAAACAAGGTGCGTTCAGTGCAGTGGCGTAGCGTGGGGAGTGCAGGGGGGGGGCCGGCCGCACCGGGCGCAACTTCTGGGGGTTAGGGTTAGGGGACACAAATCCACAGGTTAGGGGGCGCAAATCCACGGGTTAGGGAGTTCCCGCTGCGCTCCGGAGACTTCAGGTTCCTTTTGACCTGCTCTTTGGGGCTGGCGGGGGGAAGCACTGGAAGCAAAGAGCAGGTCGGGGAGCAGCGCCAAGGCTGCGTGCAGCCTTCCCGCTGCCCCCCGAGCTTGTGGGGCTGGCGGTGGGGGAAAGCGCTGCCCCAAAGATCCCCGAAGCCTTCAGAGCGCAGCAGGAACTCGTGCTGCGCTCCACAGGCTTTGGGTTCCTTTTGCTGAAGCCAGGAGAGTCTTGCTTCCCCGACTTCAGCAACAGGAACCCGAAGCCTGCGGAGCGCAGCGGGAACTCGCACTGCGCTCCGAAGGCTTCAGGAGGCTATCCAACCCCTCTCGCTCTCCAGGCTTCAGCGAAAGCAACACGAAGCCTCCGGAGTGTGGAAGGAGTGCTCCCTCTGCGCTTTGGAGGCTTCACGTTGCTATCGCTGAAGCCAAGGAGCCTGCATTCGCTCCATAAGATGCACACACATTTCCCCTTAATTTTTGGAGGGGAAAAAGTGCATCCTATAGAGCGAAGACAGCATCTTAAAAAGTAGAGACATCACCTTGCCGACAAAGTCCGTATAGTTAAAGCTATGGTTTTCCCAGTGGTGATGTATGGAAGTGAAAGCTGGACCACAAAGAAGACTGATCGCCGAAGAATGGATGCTTTTGAATTCTGGTGCTGGAGGAGACTCTTGAGAGTCCCATGGACTGCAAGAAGATCAAACCTCTCCATTCTGAAGGAAATCAGCCCTGAGTGCTCACTGGAAGGACAGATCCTGAAGCTGAGGCTCCAAGACTTTGGCCACCTCATGAGAAGAGAAGACTCCCTGGAAAAGACCCTGATGCTGGGAAAGATGGAGGTGGATAGTGTTGGTTGGAGATGGTTGGATAGTGTTCTCGAAGCAACTAGCATGAGTTTGACCAAACTGCAAGAGGCAGTGGAAGACAGGAGTGCCTGGCGTGCTCTGGTCCAGGGGGTCACAAAGAGGTGGACACGACTAAACAACTAAACAACAACAACAATAGAGCGAAAAATGTGCTAAATCTCTAGCATTGATGGGATCCACAGAGCATCTTGCAGCCACCCCTTCCTCGCTCTGGAAGGCTCTCCACGTCCCTGACTGGCCGGAGCATAACACAGCCTCGCCGTCTCTGCCAGGGAACCAGAACTCAATTTATTCTAAGTGTCCCCTTGGCCCGACTCCAGAAGAGGCATTAAAAGGGAGGGATCAAAGATGATTTATAAGCAAAAAAAAAAAAAAGGCCGAGAGAGAGAGAGGCAAAAGGTGCTGGCCGAGGCGGGTTTGGAAAAGGACGCAGGCATTTTGGGACGAGGGACGGCACTTCCTGCAAGGCTGCTCAAAATCCTGTCCTTCCCTTCTGAGACCAGAGGATGGCAGAAGGCGAAATCATCTCCCGTTTTCTTCAGCCTGTGGCTGTAACGTTTGAGTCAGTTCAGGGCGATTGGCAAAAATTTGTGGAATGCTGTATCTGAATAAAAAAAATTGTACACACTATTTTTGTAGTATTTTTGTACTGTGTACAATTTTTTTTATTCAGATACAGTATTCCACAAATTTTGGAAGATCCTAAGGGCTGGAAGTGAAGAACAGAGATAAAGGAGAATTAAATAACAAAAGAAGTGTCGTTTAGGCGGTGGAAGTCTTTTAAGATATTTTAATTAAGATTTTTATTTTATAATGTATGTAAGTGTAATTCTGGAATTACTGTTTGTGGAAAACAGCACTTTCTTTTTTTTCTCCCCCCCCCTTTTTTCTTATTTTCTATTTTCTTTCACAGTTTGGCAAATATGTAAATAATTGTGTTTTTGCAGATATATCTAGAAATTTGTATTATTCAATAAAGTTATATTTTTTTAAAAATTGTGCACAATTAAGTTCATTAGCAGGATTAAGGTAAAAACCAGGGAAGTAACTAATAAGTGGAATAACGTAGGAAATGCGGTGTTAAAAATTAACATTATAAGAAACCTCAAAGGGGTGAAGGGAACGGCCTCTTTCTCTCTCTGTATATATACATATGTGTGTGTTTATTGGGAAGTTATTCGATTTGTACGTCTGTAAAAAAAAATCTAAAATTGGGGCGGGGGGAAATGTATAGAGACGAATGAATGAATGAATAAATAAAGTGAAACCTTTGTCTTTCTCGGGTAGGGGGGGGGGAGGCCAGAACTCGCAGGCATCTCAGGAAGCTGAATGCTGGAAGAGTCAGGACAGGTGGGGGGAAAACCAGGTTTCAGCATGCAGCGCAGAGTTAAAGACTGTGGAACTCCTTCCCACAAGACGCAGTGATGGCCAACAAGCCGGATGGCTTTAAAGGACAAATTCACGGAGAGGGAAAGGGCTATACATGGCTACCATTCATATGTGGTGGGACTGTCTGTTAGTTAATGAATTTTGGAAACAGATTGGTATAGAACTGTCGGGAATTGTGGGTAGGAAGGTAGAAATATCTGAATTAATGGTTCTTATTAGCCTGATCCTGAAGCCGAGGCTCCACCTCATGAGAAGAGAAGACTCCCTGGAAAAGACCCTGATGTTGGGAAAGATGGAGGGCACAAGGAGAAGGGGACGACGGAGGACGAGATGGTGGGACAGTGTTCTCGAAGCTACCAGCATGAGGGAGGCAGTGGAAGACAGGAGTGCTTGGCGTGCTCTGGTCCATGGGGTCACGAAGAGGCGGACACAACTGAACGACTGAACAACAACATTAGCCTGAGTAGCAGCGAGGTTATAGCGAGTAATTGGGAAAATGCAGAAGAGCTAGGGGTGAACCAATGGAGGAAAAAACAGAATATTATAATTTCAGAAAATCTAACTGTGAAGATAAACAGAATGAAAGGGTTTAAGGTCAGTGAGAAGGAGGAGGATTGGTTTGAGAAGATGTTGAATTATTTGGGTTGGTTTGAACAATTTGGGGCAATTAAAATCTTAAAAGTTAAATAAACCTTGTGGAGGGAGGAGTGTTAATGTATATGGAATTGTACATACGGTCGATTTGAATATTTTATTATTGATTATGTATACTCAGCCGCCGGGGGGGGGTCACTGTTGGGTTTTGGTTGTTAGTAATAATAATAATAATAATAATAATAATAATATGACTACCATTCATCATGACTGTTCTCTGCCTCCACATTTTCCAGTTGCTGGAAAACTGCAGGAGAGGAGAGTTGATCTTGAGTTCGAATCCTGATTGCAGGTTTCCCCGAGGGCATCTGGTTGGGCCCCTGGGAGAACAGCAGGTTATTCTCCCATTTTTAGGAAAGAACGAGAAACCTCTGGGGCAGATCCTGAACCCCAAAGGACACGTCAGCCCCAGATGAGCCGCTTCCAACCCCTCTCCTTGTCTCCGCTGAAAATGTAGGAAAAGCTCTGCCGGATCAGGCCAAAGGGCAGCGTCCGACTCTCCCAGTGGCCAACCAGATGGCTGTGCAAAGCACCCAGTGCAGGAGCTGAGTTCGCTGGGCTCCCTTCCCCGCTTGGGTTTCCCAACAATTGGTATCCAGTATCACCTTGCCAAGAAAGGTCTGTATAGTTCAAGCTCTGTTTTTCCCAGTAGTGATGTATGGAAGTGAGAGCTGGACCATAAAGAAGGCTGATCGCCAAAGAATGGATGCTTTTGAATTCTGGTGTTGGAGGAGACTCTTGAGAGTCCCATGGACTGCAAGAAGATCAAACCTCTCCATCCTTAAGGAAATCAGCCCTGAGTGCTCACTGGAAGGACAGATCCTGAAGCTGAGGCTCCAAGACTTTGGCCACCTCATGAGAAGAGAAGACTCCCTGGAAAAGACCCTGATGCTGGGGAAAATGGAGGGCACAAGGAGAAGGGGACGACAGAGGACGAGATGGTGGGACAGTGTCCTCAAAGAGACCAGCATGAGTTTGACCAAACTGGGGGAGGCAGTGGAAGACAGGAGGGCCTGGCGTGCTCTGGTCCAGGGGGTCACGAAGAGGCGGACACGACTAAACGACTAAACGACAATAACGTGTGCCCCGTCCTCCCAAAAAAAAGCACTGGATATTCAAAAGCATTGGCTATTCTCCTAGAGTTCTCCATGACATATTGTTGTGAGCAGGGATTTTCAACTCTGACAAATAGAAAAGGTCAGAAAAGACAAAGGCTTCTTTGTGTTGATGAGGAGATGAGAGTTTCTCTGTCTCAAATTAGACCTCATGCAAATCAAATTACGCGGCCAAAGCAAGCTCACAGCTCTCATTGAACTTGCAATACATGCTGAAGAGGCTCACTTATAACTATGTTTTGCAAATGATTCATGCTTTAATGTAGCCGTTCTGTTTTATACTTTCGGCATGCCCCATGACCATATTATTAAGTTGTGTTCTGCGTTATAAATCAAGCCATGTTGGGATGGACTGCAAGAAGATCCAACCTCTCCATTCTGAAGGAAATCAGCCCTGAGTGCTCACTGGAAGGACAGATCCTGAAGCTGAGGCTCCAAGACTTTGGCCATCTCATGAGAAGACTCCCTGGAAAAGACCCTGATGTTGGGAAAGATGGAGGGCACAAGGAGAAGGAGATGGCAGAGGACGAGATGGTGGGACAGTGTTCTCGAAGCTGCCAGCCTGAGGGAGGCAGTGGAAGACAGGAGGGCCTGGCGTGCTCTGGTCCAGGGGGTCACGAAGAGTTGGGCACGACTAAACGACTAAACAACAACAGCGCCATGCTTTGAACGGAGGCAAGAGAGGCAAAGCGGTTGTGGGAAGGGCCTCAATCCCTGAATGGCAGGAGGTGGGGGAAATAACCTCTCTCTGATGGTGGAGAATAGCTGCCAGGATGTGTCCTCAGCCTAGCGGAGAAACTTAATCAGGCTAATGCGATCACATACAGGCCAGAGACTGAAGGAACAAGGTGTCTGGAGCTTCGTGCGGGGGAAATATGAGATGCTTTCTGCCAAAACCAATCTCCTGATGGCCCCACTTTGGCCGGGGCCCCTGCCCTCTCCCAGCAAAGCAGAGAGAGCCTGCAGAAGACGGGACTGAGGAGAGATGCACAGATCTGCGCTGAACCCACCAAGGAAATAGGACGGCTTCTGAAATTCTCCTCATCTGAAGCTCTCTCCAGATTTGGGGCTTCCAAATTCCTTGGTCTCCTTTCCAAAACAGAATCTGGAATGTTTGGGTTCTAGGCTTCCAGGCCTCATTGAGGAAAAAGGGGATTTTAAAGCTGTCTCGAGTCGGACAAGAGCTTTCAGGTTTCTAGACCTCATGGAGGAAAAAGAGTTTTCAACTGTGCTGAGCTGAGACCCTGCTTCTCAGAGCTAATTCTTCGCCGGTCTTGCATCAAGCATGGAAATTTCCACATGTTTCCAGGTGCCAAGGTTCCCTTTGGCTGTGAGTGTTTTCGTTTAAGAAATCCCCCTCATTCAGTGGTGCCCATTGCCCATCGCAGACCAGTAGCAGGGGTTTGTCACGATGACCCTGGAGTCTTCCTGGACTACAACTCCCATCACCTGCGACCCTTGGGCCATGCCTGGCCGCTGGGACTGCTGGGAGTTGTAGCGCAACAGAATCTGGAGGTCGGAGAAGGCTGGAGTATACCAGTGTAGAGAGGCAGCAGTGGTGTAGTGGTTAGAGTGTCGCTATGAAGCTCCCTGGGTGACCTTGGGACAGTCTCTTGGCCTAACCTGCCGCACAGGGTTGTTGTGGGGATTAACTGAGGAGGCGCAGAACCGCGTGCGCCACTTTGAGCTCCTTGGAGCAATAAATAAACATTTATTTACAAATAGTCCAAAAGGACATGGGGATCTGAGGCTGAAAAACATTGCCACAGAGTTGGGTAGGCAAACAAAGGCCTGTGGGCCGGATCAGGCCCAATTGGCTTCTAGATTATGTGTAGGCAAACTAAGGCCCGTGGGCCGGATCAGGCCCAACTGCCTTCTAGATTATGTGTAGGCAAATTAAGGCCCGGGGGCCGGATCTGGCCCAATCGCCTTCTAAATCTGGCCCAAGGATGGTCCGGGAATCAGCATGTTTTTACATGAGTAGAATGTGACCTTTTATTTAAAATGCATCTCTGGGTTATTTGTGGGGCATAGGAATTCGTTCAATTCTTTTCTTCCAAAATATAGTCCGGCCCCCCACAAGGTCTGAGGGACAGTGGAGCGGTCCCCTGCTGAAAAAGTTTGCTGACCCCTCGAAGGAGATATGTATTTACTGATCACATGGGTCTTCCTTATTTTATCCTTAACTTTGTGGGTTAGATTAGGCTGAGAGACAGCAGCTGGCCCAAGGTCCATCCCCGTCCTGTCCTTGCCCAGTGTGCCTCCTATGGCCAAGTGGGGATTTGAACCCAAGACTCCCAGGGCCTAGTCTAACGCTCTAACCACTACACCACACTGCCTCTCAAGAAGGATGGGGTCTCTCTCTCGCACGAGTAGCCATTGCTTCTTGAGTCGGGGCCCAGGACTCCCCAATGGCTAGCCTGCCAAAACTGCTCAGCGATTTGAGACTGAGAAGCGGTGGGCGGCGAAGGGTCAAGCCTCCCTCCCCGCAGAGCTTTCCCCTTCCAGATCCTCCTCCCCAAAGCTGCTTTTGCTACTCATTAAGCATGTAACACCTCATCCCACCCGCTAAGCTCAGCCTATTCCGAAGAGGGGGCGGATGTATTTCCCAAATGTGTGCAAGCCTCCGTTCCTAAGTCATCGTTTATTTCTCCGATCTGGCAGGAAACATCCATTTAAGTACGCGGGAGTTTGCGCGGGGGGTTTGCGTGTGTGTGTGTTTCTGCAGGGAGAGCGGCGTGGGGTGCTGAAGTCGGAGTTAACTTACCACTGTCTGCTGTGGATCTCTCCGCGCTTTTAAAATAAGCCGGTTAGCATTTGCAGCTGAAGCGCAAACTCACCCCCTTCTCCCAAATGTCGCGAAAAGCTTCCCACGAAGACTGGAAGCCACCTGGATCTTGGCAGACGGAGCCGGCAGCATCATATTCGCTGTCCGCCTTTTAAAAATAAAAATGAATGAATGAACAACTGGGGAAACGGAAGAGAACTGTGATGCTTTCGGGCTGGAAAATCCCTTCAGACGTGCGGGTCTGGGGAGCCATATTCCGGCAATGGAGTCCATGGGGGCAAATGGGACACAGACTTACTAGCCCCCCATGGCCAGCCCCCTTACTCACAACCAGTCCAAGGGGTGCCCCTCCCTGCCAGTAAACCTCCTCTTTTTTCTTAGTCTCCGTGGTGCTCCTTGCAGAAGGATGGGGACAAAGCTAAAATCATTTGGCTCCGCCTCTTGTCGGCTCTGGCTCCGCCTACCGTTTTGGGTCCCCTTTGCCAGCCCCAATGGGCAAAAACCACAGCTGCACCGAAAGAGATTTAGTGGATCTCTGCTGTAAGCCAACAGCTGCCGGGATCAGGAGCCACAATCGTGATTATAATGAAAATAATTATCGCTTCCAAATTCTGCTCAGAGCAGACCCAGCGAAATTCAGGAATCGAGGTGAGCCGCGCCCATTAACTTCAACAAGTTTACTCTGAGTAGGACCGGCACTGGGTACCACCCAAAGCATCCCGCCTCCTAATTTCCCCCCACCCAGCTAATCTTTATATCTGCAACATAGATTCTTTCAAAGCTGTAAATGCCGAGGTATGTTTAAATGAAAGGCAGCAAAAAGCAAAAGTGAGTTGTGACTGAAATACGGAGTGCGTGTAAATAAATGCAGATGTTCTCCCCCCCTCCACACCCCCGGCTGAAATTTCTCTCTTTCCTCTGGAGTCCCTGCTGTGTTGACTTCCTGATTGGAAGCTCTTCGCGGGCAGGGACCTTTCAAGTTTGGGATACGATGGAGCAGAGCTGGTTTGTTTCAAAGCAGCCCCATTCCCAAACCTCACGCGCACGGATGTTGCCGGCAAGTAAGCCTGGGATTTACGCGGCACCTAGAGCTGGAAGAGACCCCAAGGATCATCTAGTCCAGCCCCCTGAAGTGCAGGAATCATGACATGCTTTCATCCTGAATTTAGGAAGCCTGCCTTTGTACTGGAGCAGACCATTGGACTGGTAGCAGCAACAGCTGTTCGCCACGATTCCTTCCTTCCCTCGCCACCGACGGAGGCAGCAGCAAGGACTCGCCAGTGGAGACAAGAGTCCTGCTGTTGCGCTCCTCCCACGGGGCATTTGAGAAACCGTGATTCCGGACCAGATGGATCCAGAAGGGCTCTTACGCCCAGGTCACCTTCTGCCTCAAATCCTCCCCCCCCCAAACCGGTTCCAAACCGGGAATCCCAGGACAGGACCGTGAGAGCGCTCTTCGCGCAAAGGCGATGCGCAAACCAGGTTCATGGTTTTGCAAACCTCTCTCATCCTCTTCCTTCCTCCTTGAGCTTTCCAAAAGGTCCAAAAAGCACACAAGCCGCTTTCCCCCGTGGCAAAAAGGACCGAGCCACTTGCCTTTATCCCCCCACCCCCTTTTAAAATCTGCTCCGGGCTCTCCAAGGGAGCGAGCCGGGCGGCTTACCTGGAACGTGCTTCGGGGAGACACAACAAGGAGGCTTCTCTCTGCCAATGATGTCTCATGTGTGTCTCTTTCCCTGCCTGTCTCTCTCTTCTCTCTCTCTCTCTCCCCCCCCCGCTTCGCCACCTCCCTCCCTCTCTCTCCCCCTCCCTCCGCCAGCCACGTGGGTGTCAATTTGCCAAGGGAATGTTCCATCCCAGAGTTTCTTCTCTGTGCTGAACAACTCAGCGCAGACGGCGGCGTCGAAACAGCCAAAGCCACCATCGTTCCAAGACCTGACGAAAAGAGGAGAAGCGAAAGAGAGTTAATTGCTGGCACCCATCTGTCTCGGGAGACAATGGAGAACGGCGCCTTTGGGGGCGAAGCCAAACTGTTGGAGAGTTACAGCGCCTGCTGTGGCCGTAGAGAAGAATACGGGAGGGAGATGTTTTGTTGCAGCTGGGGCAGGTGAAGGTGCCTGAAACCTGTTCGCTGCTGCAGGTGCCCCATGGCGTTTCTTCTCTCTGCCCTCCTCCCAGCGGTCATTCCTCCTCTGGTCACCACTATAGATGCACAACCTGTCTGTCTGACTCCAGGCACCGCAGTCGGTCATCTGCAAGGGATTCCCACACGGTGGGGTTGATGTTGCAGACGTCTTTGTAGCGCAGATTTGGTCCGACAACCAGTCTGGTGCCTGAAGCCAGCTCCCAGTAGAGCACGTCAATAATAATAATAATAATAATAATAATAATAATAATAATAATAATTTATTTATACCCCGCCCATCTGGCTGAGTTTCCCCAGCCACTCTGGGCGGCTCCCAATCGAGTGTTAAAAACAATACAGCATTAAATAATAAAAACTCCCCTAAACAGGGCTGCCTTCAGATGTCTTTTAAAGAGAAGATAGCTGCTTATTTCCTTTACATCTGAAGGGAGGGTGTTCCACAGGGCGGGTGCCACCACCGAGAAGACCCTCTGTCTGGTTCCCTGTAACCTCACTTGCAATGAGGGAACCGCCAGAAGGCCCTCGGAGCTGGATCTCAGTGTCTGGGCAGAAGGATGGGGGTGGAGACGCTCCTTCAAGTATACTGGTCCGAGGCCGTTTAGGGTTTTAAAAGTCAACACCAACACTTTGAATTGTGCTCGGAAACGTACTGGGAGCCAATGCAGATCTCTCAGGACCGGTGTTATGTGGTCCGGTGGCCACTCCCAGTCACCAGTCTAGCTGCCACATTCTGGATTAATCCAATTAATCCTTGGGGATCCTGCCGTCTTCCATTCTGTGCACATGGCCAAGCCAGCGTAGACATAGTGGGATGTGAAACACAAGAGCAGTCAAGTACAACATTCCTAGAATGAAGATGTTTACACATGGGGAGGAATGTTTGTCCAGCCAGCAGGTAAACTTCCTGTTTCCTCCAGGGCTGGGACAGACTTCCTCTACATGGGACTAGAGGTGGGCGTAGCCTCACCTGTGCAGGTAACAACAAAGGCACAGGGCAGGACAGCCATCTCTCTCTTTTTGACTACATGCATCAAAGAAGCAACATCTGCTTAGCCAAAGATGCTCTCTTGGCCTCCAGCCAAGAGAGGACAAAGGGACTGTCTCTTTATGGGATAGTTTCCAGGTGTAGGTTACTTTTCTAAGGTAAATCTGCCTTCTGGGATCCGATTGTGAACAGAATGTGAGGACAGTGGTACCTCGGGTTACATACGCTTCAGGTTACATATGCTTCAGGTTACAGACTCCACTAACCCAGAAATAGTGCTTCAGGTTAAGAACTTTGCTTCAGGATGAGAACAGAAATCGTGCAGCAGCTGCAGTGGCAGCAGGAGGTCCCATTGGCTAAAGTTGGAAAGGCTATAATCAAACAATATATCCTCTCCTGCATCCCTGAACATTCCCACAGACATCGCTGAGAGAGCAGTGCGATAGTGCTGGGGGATGTGGGCTTAGTAGAGAGCATCTTTCTTTGGGACTCTGTCCTGCCCAAAATCTTCCTGACACAGTGAATGTGGAAGCTGTTGATGTGTTGCTCCTGAAGGGTGCAAGTTCCCCATGTCTCATGACCACAAAGCAGCGTGCTCAACATGCAAGCCTGCTAGACCTCCACCTTCGTATTGGTCGCTAAGCATCACATTCTACGAGACCCTTTTGGAGAGGCGAGCCATTGCTGTAGCTGCCTTGCCAATACAGTGGTACCTTAAGGCTTAGGTTACATACGCTTCAGGTTACAGGCGCTTCAGGTTACAGACTCCGCTAACCCAGAAAGAGTGCTTCAGGTTAAGAACTTTGCTTCAGGATGACAACAGAAATCGTGCTCCGGTGGCGCGGCAGCAGCAGGAGGCCCCATTAGCTAAAGTGGTGCTTCAGGTTAAGAACAGTTTCAGGTTAAGTACGGACCTCCGGAACGAATTAAGTACTACACCTGAGGTACCACTGTACACTTGTCCAGCTCAGCATCGATGGAGAGGTTGCTGGTTACGGTGGAGCCCAGGTAGACAAAATCACCTACGTGTGTGGTCACCCATTCTGAGTGCATGGCCATTCAAATGATGTGTGTGTGTGCCATGTAAGCGATGTGTGGCAGGGCTTACCTGCTCCCTCCCTGCCACATTTTATTTTATTCAAGTTGGTGCCCCTCTGGAAAGCCCAACAGATGTTCCCCCATTATGGCTGCCAGGCCAGGTACACCCCACTTTCTGAGACTTCAGGACCCAAACCTGAGACCTAGGTGATGTGCCCCTCTCAGCACTGAGCTCAGGAGACGGAGGTTAATTGGGAAAGTGGAGGTGGTGGTTGTGGTGGAGGGCACACCCCGCAGAAAGCTATGCAATGATTTGCAGAGATGGAAGTTAATTGGGAGCAGAGGAGGGCTGACCCCACCTCCCGACAGTCTTATGCAGTAATTTGCATTCTGCCAGCCTGAAGCTTAGAATCTTGGTGAAATAAATAAACTCCACCGGGTTCTGTGGGACTTAGGCCACAACCCCACTTTAAAAAGCCATGGTTTCCTACAAAGAACCCTGGGGGCTGTAGGTTGTGTTTTTTTAAGGGCGCTGAGAGTTGCTAGGAGACTCCCGTATTCCCCACAGAGAGGTACAATATCCATTTTACAGGGGACTCTGGGGAATGTAGCACTAGCACCTCTCGGCACCCTGAACAAACTACAGCTCCCAAAATTCTTTAGGGGAAGCCACAAAGGTTTAAAGCGGCGTTGTGGTGCTTCAAATGTGTGCTGTAAATTTGGCCCTTCTCACTCTCTTGCACATTCTGAATTTATTGTTATTCACGTTCAATACTGTATTTTATGCTGTTTTTTGTTGCATCAATTAAGTGTTTTAAATCTGTTGTTAGCCGCCCTGAGCCCGGTTTTTTGAACCGAGAAGGTCGGGGTATAAATAAATTATTATTATTATTATTATTAGTAGTAGTAGTAATAGTAATAGTATGGAAATATACCCGTTTCAGAAATAAGCCATGGCAATCCCTGTGATGTTTGCCACCAGCAGAACTTTTTAAAAATAAAATTCAGAGAGGTTTTGGGACACACACACACACACACACACACACACCAAGAGTCCAACAACAAAGGGCCGCAGATCAGATGAAGGGAACACATCGAACAAGGGAACACATGGCCAAAAAAGGGAGGCTGGTGCTTTCACTTTGCTTTTATTTTTGCTTTCTGACCTCTCACGTAATTTAATCCGCCGATCCAAACTCATACAACAAACTGACTAAGCGTACTTTAACTGAGAGACAGTCCTAACGAAAGATAGAAGGAAAAGGTAGGTTTGCATCACCCAGTGGTAACAGTTTCCCCCTTCTCAACCCCGTTCTGGAAGAAGAGACAAGGGATTTCCCACACGCCCGCCCGCCCCCCCATTTCTGTGCAAATTACAATTCCCATAATTTGTTGAGGCAAATGTTAAACTGGTACAAGACTGATAAAAGTTTTGAAGTGCAGGTGTGGTTTGGGGTGAAGGAAAGCTGTGAGGGGCTGGTTAAGCAAGACTGGAAGCTGCTGCTGGTGGTGATGAGGAAGCTACAGAAAAATGTGACTTGGTTAATTCAAGTCAAGTTTCGCAGCTATTCGCCTCCTTCCTGGGCTATCCAGTCCCGATCCAGCCTCAGTTTCCATTTATGTTGGTGTCCCACAAACACAACGGCCCCTTCTGTGCTTAAGCCACACAGGAGGTCTCTCCCCAGCCAGCCTGACCTCCTCACTTCCCTCACAGAAACCGCACAACCTGTTGACATCCTTCCGTCGACCGTTTTGTGCCCAATCTTCTTTTAAGCACAGAAGGAGCGTGGCAGAAGGTGGCATGGGCTTTGCGAGACATTTGACGTGAGGTAACCCCAGGCAACTACTCCGGTTCATCGGGAAACTGCTTGGGCAAAAGTTACCCAAAAGCATTTGGGTTTGGCGCATATGTGCCAATATTCCCCCCTCTCCCATTTTAAAAGAAAGCGAAAGCAGCAGGATATGAGGTTTGGGGGAGGCGTTGTTGGTTTTTGGAAGTTGCTGGTGAGTTAGAATCTAAACCGAGGTCAGTCTGTGTGTGCGACACACACGCACAATGAGAGAAAAAGACAAGAGACTCTTTCGTTATCAAATACAGAAGCGGACAGACACTGAAAAATAGAGATCTATCTTATAGAACCACATTTGTCCACAATATATATATATATATATTATATTATTTCTTAAAAACTTGGTTTCAAGGAAAAAAAAAACACAGAACAGCTTGGTTGAGTCTTGTGCCATTAGGCAGCAAAAATGAGGTATTTCTTGGCTACCTAAGTTGGCCATTTTGGCCAGGGCGTTACAACGTGGGCAGCTAATTGGACTTTGCCCCTCCAGGGAGACTTCATCACGGTGAGAGCTTCCTCACGCTAGGAGTGCTGTTTGTCCACAAGACCCTGCCCTTACTTAATACTTTTAAGCTTCCACAGCGGTAGACTTCCGAATGCTTTCCAAAGCGGCTCTCACACACGTTGCCTAGTCCCTCAGCCCCGTGGTTTCCTCTGAGGGGGTAGTGTGGGCTCGCTCCGTGCTTATCCAGGGACGAAGAGATGCGGTCGAGGTTGCGTACCAAAGCTGGTGTCAGAAGTGGGG